GTATGGTTTGTCCCTTCTGGACTACTGTAGAAACATGGCGGTTTAACATGGCAGACTCCATGGAAGGCAAGCTGCAGCGTCTGTAGTTAGAAATGGCTAACAAAAACATAACGCTTCCTATATTCAGGTGATTATACGCTAATGAAAACATACCTATGAATATTATATTTAATTCTGACTGATAGATCTTCCTAGATGTTACACACTGCACCTTTAAATGTTATGAAAACCAAAACCACTTTGTGAGCGATGAAACAATTAGTTGGATTGATAGTAAAAAACACTTGCAGCCTTATGCAGTAACTTTGACTACAACAACACTGACAAGTAGAAAAGTCACAAACCAAGGAGGCAGTTGTTGAAGACATGATGCTTCCCACCATTTGGGATGCTTTGTTATTGAACTTAATGATTGTTTTTTTACTGATGAGTTCAATATAAACAGCATTATGTTTTCCCTAGGCTTAGTTTGTGTTTGTCATATATTTACATTTGAGTCACAGACGTAAGTACTTGTTTCTTTGAAAAATTAGTTTTCTGAAAAACCTGGAGGGCCACTTAACTACACTTCTGAAGATATTTCCAGAATCCTCGGAGACTGTTCTACAAAAATATTCCATCTGGTGTGCAATAAAACAGCTTGTTAATCCAGTTCTCAAGTTGTGAATCTGTTTCCTAATCTTTAGCCAGAAATTGCACATGCCTTTGCTCTATTGAAAAACACAACTGGTAATTTATTTTTTTAAATTTGCTTCATATTGTATTAAAATTAAAATTAAGCAAGGACATATGTCATTTCTGGCTAATATCTTTGTTTGGATTAAAACAACTGAGTCACAACTTGAAAACTTTGAAAAAACTATGTTATCATTCAGGGAAGGAAGTCTTTGAGGACATTTTAGAACAGTTTTGTTGAAGGACTAATTGGGTTGAGTTCCTCTATGATAACATGTTACAGTTCACCTTTTTACCTACAATCTGACTTTTGTACTACTTACATTAGTGATTTACTTTACTTTCCAGAATGCCTTTCAAATTTGTCCACAGATTCCTCCATGTTACATTGCATAGTAAGAACACAAAAAGTGTTTCCAGTCAAGATAAAGGAAGAATAATTTCCTAATTTTCCTAAGTAATTCAATTAATTATTAATTGCTTTTTGCTAGAAACATCTGGCTGACACACTTTAGCACCCAGGCCCAACTTCGGGCGGCCTGCCTTTGATAGTTTAAAAAAACAACTACTCTGTAAGTGATGGTAATCTCAGTGTAATTTCATCAGTACATACAGACTGCATGCACTGTGGGCCATGCAGGTGTTTTTTATGCCCTAAAAAATAATGAGCAAATGTGGTTGTACAGTTGATTTTTACCTAAATGCACTAGTGGCTCATTAACTATCTAAACATTAAACACCCACAGGAAAAAATAAAGTTTTAGATTTAATGTACAGGTGAGAAATTTTGTAACCCAAGCTATCTGCAGTTGTTTCTTTACTGTACGACTAACACCTGATTAATAACATCTCTGTGGAATGAGCAGTTCTTTCTCATTTGTTTTGATCGTAGTTGCTGGAGAGTTCTAAGGTTTGAAAAGGACCCAAACATGGTTGCACAAAACAAATTTCATGAAATGTCGCTAAATCTAACTAAATCTAGCGTACAGACTTCCTCCTTATTTATATACAACACATAACAGTGGGTTTAGTTTGCAATAGCCAGTGCCATTTTAGATCTGGTAACAAAAACAGAAACTACAAAAAGCACAGAAACAAGTACTGTAGTTGCCTGCTAAGCTACAACCTTAAAATTGGAGCTTCCTTTTGTACTGAACTGATGTAGCCTGAGCAGTGATTCGTTCAGTAGTGCAGTAATATAGATATGTTTTTTTATTCGATTTATTTATCTATTTTTGTATTATTTAGTTGGATAATCTAGTGGAAATTTGACATTCTCAGATTCAAGCAAGTTGTCCACTCAGGTTCAGGAATGTTTTAATGTCACAGCAGTTATATAACTTCTCAGGCCTCTGCCATACGGCCTGGATAAAATGATGGTAAAAGGCTAGCCCAATTGCTCGCAGAGTAATTTGGCAGTAATTTCCCACTAACAATGTCTAAATTCTAGCATATGACTCATTGAGCCTTCCCACAGTGAGTGAAGCAGAATCGCCAGAATGATTCAGTGCACAAAGCAGAACTGATTACATGGAGGGAAAAGTTCATATCATTTAATGTGGCAGGTCAAGTTCTTAGTAGCCGCTGGCAGGTGAACTGAACAATTAATTTTGGAAAAACAGGTGAAGTGCTACAATTTTAAAGAAAATAAAGAGATGAAATAAAACAAACTTGTCTCCATGTGGTTTAGTTTGTCTTGGCTTGGTGACAGCTGGTTTTCTGCCCGGTGGCACACTGCTGGGCTGTGTCATATCTGTTTCTGTGAAATACCCCTGTAGTTCCTCCAATTTGCTTCACGGTAACATGAGAGTGTTTAACCAAACTTAGTAAAGCTTTCCACTGGCACGAAGGCTCAGGACAGGCAGTGTTGTTAGCAACGGAGGGCAACAGCATGTAGGAATGGTTATACTCTACCTACGTATGAGCTAATGCAGCTATACCTGCCAGCTGAGATTGAGCCAAGTCGTACTCTGTGTGTGTGTGTGTGTGTGGTGTGGGTGTTGGTTGTGGTTGTGTGTGTGTTGTGGTGTGCGTGTGTATGTGTGTGTGCGTGCGCGCAGCCTGGTCTAATGAAATTTCATGAAAAGTCTGAATCATGATATTCCAGTATATTAGACTACCAAAAAAAAGAATAAAATGACCAGTTTATTCACAAGAAAAAAGCAAACATTGAAGGAAAGTGAAAAATAAACGGAAGTTGGTGAAGCAGGAATATGGTGTCTCTGTTTTCCTAACCTGTGACCCCTTAGATTTGACTTGCATGATCATGATAATCTGTCCTGGAGGTTAACATTTGGCTACCTCCTCTGCATGGCAAACAGGTGAAAGTTGTGCTTTCAGTCCACACTGTTATCACTTAATCTCTCGGAGTTGGAGGAATGTAACCTGACTCGGTCGCTGATGTCTCACAGCAGCTGTAGCTCTCTGAGCTGATGGTCTGTGTTAAGTGAATTTATAAAAAAAAATTTCAGTGACAATAGACAGGGATCAGGATCACCGTCACAGTGGGCCTTATGACTGTTTCCATTTTAACTGTGGAATTTGCCCCTGAATGACTGCTCCTGGTTTATCCAGGTCTGTCATGGTCAGTTAAGGTCATCCACTACTTTGCACAATAAAGCACCAACTACATTTACACCATTTTAGAATAATTTGTGCAATCTGATTCCGATTTAGACCACTTTTCGCCTGAAACTAAATTCTGCAGTTTGTTTATTGTTGTTGGATTAATTGAATTTTTGGTTGCATTGCTTTTCCCAGGTTGACTACAGGCTCGAAGCAAGTCTGACTACTTCTGTGTGTGTTTTTAAAGATGAAATGGCAGGATTAGCTGGTGGCATTTTATTGATTACAGAGTAAACTTAGTACACTCCCAAAACTCGTCAAGGCCACTAGTTCGAAATGAGCCACTGAAAAGGTCTCGAAACCAAAACTGGGTCAATGCATGCACATTCCGTCAACTTTCCTTTCAGCACACAGCAGTAGATACCTGACTACTCCTATTGGTTCTGGCTGAAGTGCTTTATTATTTTATCAAGAATAAAGTAAGAAGTGGCTACATTTGCTTTTTCCCAAGATCTATTTCAGTGAGCGGGTCTGAGTCATGACAATCT